TGTTGTCGCGTCCGAGCACACGCCACGCCACCAGCTACGCAAAGCAGTCGTTATTGTGGTGATGTGGTCTGCACATCCCAATGACGGTCGTGGCGTGCCCCAGTACAACTGTAGGCTGTAGGGAATAGAAACGCAGTATAGGCAGTATGCTGTGCGAAGATAAACAGAGTCAAATATACCCGGAACCCCACACATAGCGTCCACGGCGACGACCACTTCACGACATTATCACCATCGAGAATGCATTCCATACGATCCAGTCGACGTTGGTCGTTTTTCTATCGTAGTTTGGGTACAATTGGTACCTGGCGTTCCGCAACTGGTTCTCCTACGCAAAGCGTTTCAAGTGCGTTGGCGGCGGCGAGAGCGACAGTACCTGCTCCTTGGACCACGTACAGCGTACTCTCCTCGTCGACGGTATAGCCGGCGTGGGACAAAGTCGCCGTGAAAGCTGGGAGAGCATGCTGGCAGAAGTAGGGGCTGCGGAGTTGGATGCGTGTTTGAAAATGGCATCGGACGGAACGAGCTCGGCTTTTTGTCGAGCAGCCGTATCAAGTTGCATTATCAATCCATTTGTCGCTTTTTACCAATCAAATCGTTGTATTGTGGAGTGTGCGCCCGTCTTGGTCGCAAGTGAGCTTGACACTAACTTGCCACAAAGATGATAATTGAATGACGGATATGGGGTCAACTAGACAGTATTGGGTGTTTTTGGAAGTATCAATTTTGTGTCAAGATCACTTGCGACCAAGCCACGCGCACGCCCAACAGTATAACGATTTGATTGGTGAAGAGCGATAAATGAAACGATAATACAACTTGATACAGAACGACGAAAAGCGTTGCGCCCGATGCCATTTCCAATCATGCATCCACCTCCGCAACTTCTGCCAACAAGTTCATCATGCTCTCATGGTCCCAAGAGTCAGCGATCGCATCAGTCGGCTCAGTCGTCCAAAACTTCTTAATCTGCACCAGGGCGAGGAGCTCGTGAGGTCTTCTCGAGTCTTGAGGCGCCGCATCTCAAAACATGGGACAGTGGCGAGATCGCCGTCGAGCACGCGTGGCAGCGTCGGCATCGCGCGGGCAAGGCACGGATATGGGACCAACTCTACATTATTGTCTTTGAGGTCCTTTTCCGTGCTCTCGTCGACGTCGCTTCGACGCGAGCAGCGGTGGAACGCGAAATTGTCCTACAATTATCGTGGAGCAATTTCGTGTATAAAATTCTACAATTATTGTACTAGTACAATTTTATATGAAACGAATGCAATACATCGCTGTTTTCTGCCACAGCGCTTTTTCGCGACGAACATCAGGCTCCATGGCAAGTCGCAACACACAGGCTTGCCGCAAGCTACACTGTAGTCCCCTCGTCCACAGTTTGGACCTTGCACTTTATTGCAGGTCGCTCGCTCCCTGGAAACACGTCAGCTGAGCCGTCGCCATCCTTTGACTTCTGTCATGACGATCTCTGCGAGCTGCAAGCTCGATGGCAATGGCGCGTGCGCGACACCTTCGGGTAGTAGCCACAGAATCTCTCAGTCGATCGTACTGTCCGTCGCACGGGACACATTGAATCCAAGCGCACTAAACAAAGCTAACGTTAGTACGTTTTCACATGTCAGTACACGTATGTACACTAGCCCATCGCCGTCATGCGAGCATCTCCCTCTCGACAGTACGTGCGCTTGGCCCACGCTGGTCAAGCCCTATCACACAGGGTGGAAAGCACTGCCCAGGAGGGGGGAGGAGCTGGCACATGCGCGAGTAACTTGGTCGTAGGTTGAAGCTGCACCCGCCATCTGGTTCACTTGCCCTCGTTGGCGCCTTTTGAGCGCAGCATCTCGGACTCGCTCGTCTCCTTCTCGACGGCTTGAATCGCTCGACCTTTGTTCCCAATCGCCACACACTGCACAAGGATACGCCGCAGCAGTCAACATCGCGAAGTGCAAAGACAGGCGGTAGCAACAAGCGACGTGCACCGAAGATCGCGCTTGGAGGAACCGGACCTCACGGGTTCACACGTCTTACACACACAAGAGTTCCTACGCGCTATAGCTCAACCACTCTATAAACGACTAAGTTAGTAAAAGACTATAAACGCCGGGTCCTTCGCAGGAGAAATTTGGCGTCGGATGCGCCCGTTGCACAGTGGTTTCTGAGCAAACGTCAACACCACAGTGTATTATAATCTTGTTCACGCCATATTAAAATGCATGTTTCTACTAAACATTGATGCTATCGACTACACCCTACAAAAAACAAGTAATTTAGTTTAGTCGAATCGAACTTTCAATAAAAATGCCGCCGACCTGAACCAAAGTGCTCACTGTGAAAAATACACTGCGGTGTTTTACACTGATAACCTTCCAAAATCCACACAATACCGGCAATCCAAACGACTCTTATCGGTAGTTTTTAGGTATGAAAACGAATACTTTGGAATGTCGCTAGAAAGGGCAACGTCGTGGCGTGGGAATGGATATTTCACATGCGGGATACTCGGTACCTGGCACTACCAGACGGTTGCGAGTATTACACATTGCGGCGCAGTCAAGTTTTTTCCTCCGACGAGATGCAACGCGGCGCGACGCTCGCCGCCATGGCCGCGCTGGTGCGACCCGCATTGGCCGGCAACCAGAACGACCCGACGCAGCCGACCAAGTCGGGCCTCGGCACCTGGATCGATGCCCACACGCCGACCGACGCGTACACCAAGCTGAGCTCGCGCGGCGACACGTGGAACCTCGTCATGAGCGACGAGTTCAACCTCGATGGCCGCCAGTTTGCGTACGGCAACGACCACATCTGGACGGCGCTCGACATTCCCGATGGCGTCAACCGCGCAATGGAGCTCTACAGCTCCAAGAGCGTGTATACCGAGGGCGGCTACTTGTACAACCGGGTCGACGAAGGCCCGGTGAACGTGAGCTTTTGGAACTCGTGGTCCGAGACGCCGGGCTACGAGAACAAGACGATGCACTACACGGCCGGCATGATGCAGTCGTGGAACAAGTTTTGCATCCAAGGCGGGTTTGTGCAAGTGCGCGCCATGCTCCCGGGTGCGATCAACAAGGAGTCGTTCAACCCGCATATTCTCGGCTACAAGTGGGCGCCGCCGCCCATCAACAAGATTCCGATCAACGACAAGGACAAGATCCCCGACATTCGCTTCTACCCGACGTGGCCAGGTCTCTGGCTCATGGGCAACCTCGGCCGCGCCCTCTTCGCAGCATCGACCAACCGCATGTGGCCGTGGACGTACGACGAGTGCGACGAGCGGTACGAGACCAACCAGCGCATCTCGGCGTGCAACAAGAACCCGGGCTTTGGCCTCAACCCAAACCAAGGCCGCGGCGCACCCGAGATCGATATCCTCGAAGGCGGCGGCACGGCAATTTCGTCGTCGGTTCAAATTGCACCGGGCATGCCCGACGAGTACCGCCGCACCAAGCCGATCCTCAAGCTTGAGAGCGTCACCAACGTCGACGCGCAAGGTACGACGTCACGAAGGCTCGCTCGCAGCCAACACCGTATGTGTTGTTAGGGCGCAAGGGCCAGGGCCACCTCTTTTGCTACTACGACAAGAACTGCCTCACACCCGGCGCCAACATGGCCGACGTTCCAACGGCGACGTTCGCCTCGCGCGGCCACAAGTCGTGGTACCACGGCCTCCGGTACGCGGCCAACGACCGGTGCAACCCCGACCCGAAGCTTGTCCAGCAGTACGCGTCGGTGGCGGCTGCCCAGAACGGCACCATCATCGACAACCAATTCGACATCAAAACCATTAGCTCGGGCCGTGATTTGCACGCTGACTTGAGCTTGATGGACGGGAAGGGCCCGCTGCACTGGGGCATCAACTACAAGGGCACGTGCTTCCCGATCTCGAACGGGTACATTGGCGGGTTCCTCTGCGACCCGGACAATATGAACGACAAGTGCGAGAACCCGCGCAAGCCCGGCGTGCCCCTCACGCGCCAAATGGAGACGTTTGCGTACCAAATGGACGCGATTTCGTCCAACTGGGACATTTCGTTTGAGCACTACAAGATGTTTTTCAACTACGAGATCGAGTGGTAACTCTATCTTTCTACTAATTAAAGTCAGCTCATCCTCGACTTGTAGGGTCATGGGCGACGACGGCTACATTCGCTGGACGCTCGACGACGCGCCGATCTTTGAAATTCCGGCGACGTCGATGACCAACCCGCCCCAAGGCGGTGCGACCGTCAACCCCAAGAAGCTCATGATTGAGGAGCCGTCGTACATCATCTTCAACATTGCCATGGCGTCGGCGTGGGGTACGCGTTTGTGTTTGGAGATTCGAATGTGAATCTCAAAACCATTGTGTTTTGCAGGTGCGATGCCACCGAACTACGAAGTCGGGCCGTGCCGCGGCAATGCGACCATGCCTGCCGACCCCAACGTCCGCCGCATCACAGACAACATTTGCGACTCGTTCCCGATGTACATGGTCATTGACCACATTCGCATTTGGTACCCGCTTCGATCCCCACATTTGACCTTACGCACCTTTCGTAGGCAAGACACGTCCGTGGGGTCCAAGATGAGCGTCGGCTGTGACCCGGCAAGCCACCCGACCAAAGAGTTCATCAAGGCGCACATCCTCAACTACACGGACCCGCTCAACAAGGACGTCGAGGTCGCAGGCAAAAACACCTGCATCAACGACGACGACTGCTCGATTGCCGGCGGGACACCGACGGGCCGCTGCATCAAGGAGCGCTGCGAGTGCATTACGCTCTGGGCCGGCCCCCGCTGCACCAAGTACACGCCGAACCTCAACAGCGACGAGAAGGAGGCGTCGTTTGGCCCCAAGGTTGTCTACCCCGCGTCGATTCTCGGCGCCCTCATCCTCATTGTCGTGGCCACGACGATCGTGCGTCGACGACGTCACGTGGCCGAAGTCGAAGCCGCGAATGCATTTGCGGAAATGAAGAGCGCCAAGGCCGCGGCGATGGCGGCCGAAACGGACGACGACGCGAGCAACAACGCTAGCAACAACCGCCGGTACTATGGCCCGGCCGCCGCCCAACCGCGCAACCTCGCTTGAGCCCGCGCCGTACCGCATACCGAGTTCGTTATGCTTTCTGTGAAATGGAATTTTCCCTGCTTTTGTTTGTCATTTTTTAGGGAAAAGTGCAACCAGTTTGAGAAAAAGGGCAACCATTTTGAGAAAAAGTGCAACACTCATCGGGACTCATACACACCATAATGAACCATGGCAAGAGTCTCCGGTCGACGGCTTCCGACACCCGTCTCCTTCACTCCTGAACGGCAAAGAAGCTGACCTCGTCCCACGTGAGATAGCACCGTTGGTGTCATTTCCCAATTTGACGCGAACCGAATGGCGCGAAAGCTGCCGTGCGTGCGACTGCCCGCGTCGTGGCTGCTTATTGAGAACCTCGTGGAGGAAGTCCTCACGTTCCTAATCGGTCGAGATGTGCGCGCCTTTGCATCGGCGCTGCGCTCGCACCGCCCGACAATGGCCTTTGTGATCTCGCCGACTCTCTGGACGCGGCTGTTGAGCATGCTACCGCGACTGCCCGGGGTGCCACCGCCGACGATCCTCCCGGCGCCGTGCCTGCTCACGACGTATGCCACTGCGCTGGACCACGCAACGTGGCTGCGAAACCACGTGCACGTCGTGCACGCAACGCTCGACGATGTGAACGACGGCCGAATGCAGACGCTGGTGTTTCCAACGACACGGGGCTTACGCCACCCGCCGTTGGGCTCGGCCGCCGCCGCCGCCCACGCAATCGCCCTTGAGTCGTGCATAGATGTCGAGGTGCGCCTCGTGCCCCGTCTGCAGCTGCAGCGAGGCAGTGTGTGGTCGACGTCGGGCGGGCACTCGACGTTTGCTACGTTTCTGCACGCGATCGGACCGGCCACGAACGACCTCGACAAGCTGGAGCATCTCGCGCGGACGTACGACAACGTGTGGGCGCAAGCAGCGACTCTGGTTGCAGAGACGGAGCTGCCCCGCCGACACGCCATTGGTGTCTTGCCCATTGGTATGGGCCTCGCGCAGTGCCCTATTGCTGCGGCAGCTACGTGCACGCTCGCGCAGCTCTCGAGCCGGGCGTTTGGGGCGAACGTGCTCGTTGCTTCAGCCTCGGTGACGTTCATTTGCAACGACAAGGTCGTCTTTGCCGCCATTGATGCTGTGCGACAGGCGCTACTCGAGACGTAGTCGGTGACGTAGTCGGTGACGTAGTCGGTGACGTTGCGTCGTCGCAGGAGAATCATTACGAGTGTTGTTGATCATGTCTCCGGGGTGAGGTTGCATTGGGGTAGGGTTAAATGGGGATAGGGGTTTCCTCCCAAGCAGGAGGATATCGCGAGACTGGTATATATATGCATATTACATTTTTGTTCACAAACGACCATAGATTACGGTACAATGGGTAGCGACATTCGAAGCGTGCGCCTTTGGTCCGTGTCGTCGTCGTCGTCACGGTGGCTACGCCGAGTTGTCCTATGAGCGCCATAACAAAACTTAGGCCCGAGCGTGCTGGTACTCGACATCGCGGTCGCCCAGTACAATGATATCGGATGGCCGCGCCGAGAGCTGGCTCTTGCGCTGGTCGCGGAATACTTCCAGCGTCTTCTCGAGCGTCCGGCGCTGCTTTTGGCGCAGAATGAACGCGCCGACCGACGCCGCGACCGCAAAGGCGACAAGGCCCACGGAAAGCGCCATGGACGGGCCGAACGACGCGTCCTTGAGGTCGTACTTGGTGCATCGGGGGCCCGTCCACCCGTGCATGCACTCGCACCGGCTTTTGACACACGCGCCCGTGAGACTCGTAATGACGGTGCAGTCGTCGGCCGAGTTGCACGACGCGCCGCCCGCGACCGGAAGGTCCAAGTTGAGCGGGTCCGTGTAGTTGGTGATGTGCGCCTTGATAAACTCCTTGGTCGGATGCGTTGCGGGGTCACAGCCGTAGCTCATGCGCGACGCGTCTTGCCTAGTGGACTTTGACGTTGGAGAAGAGAGAGCTAGTGTTGTACCAGACGCGGATGTAGTCGATCGACATGTACATCGGGAACGAGTCGCAAATGTTGTTGGACATCTTGGCCTCGTCCGAGCCTGGAGTGGGCATTGAAGCGTTGCCGCGGCACGGACCGACCTGCCAGTTGGGCGGCGTCGCACCTATGCGTGGAGCACCGTTCGGACTCAGTTGGCCAACGGGCAAGGCATTGTACCCCAGGCCGATGCCATCGCCACGTTGAAGAGAATGTAGCTCGGCTCCTCAATCATGATCTTCTTCGGGTTGGGCTCCTTCCCGCCTTGGGGCGGGTTGGTCATCGACGACGCCGGGATCTCAAAGATCGGCGCGCCATCGAGGGCCCAGCGCACGTAGCCATCGTCGCCCATGACCCTAATCCACGAGGCTGAGTATAGAGCCTACGCAGCGACGCCTCGTACCACTCGAGCTGGTACTTGTAGTACGTCGTGTACGCTTCGTAGTTAATGTCCCAGTTGGATGAAATTGCGTCCATTTGGTACTCGAACGGCTCCATCATCATGGTCTCCTGCTCGTGGGCCTTGCGCGGGTTGTCACATTTCGGGTTCATGCTGTCGCGGTCGCAGAGGAACCCGCCCTTGTACCCGTTTGCGATCGGAAAGCACGTGCCCTTGTAGTTGATACCCCAGTGCAGCGGGCCCTTGCCATCAATCAAGCTCAAGTCCGCGTGGAGGTCCTTGCCCGAGCTAATGGTTTTGATGTCCCACTGGTTGTCGATGATCGTGCCGTTCTGGGCGGCAGCGACCGACTCGAACTGCTGAACAAGCTTCGGGTCGGGCGAGCACCGGTCGTTGGCCGCGTACCGGAGACCATGGTACCACGATTTGTGACCCCGGGACGCAAAGGCGGCGGTCGACACGTCGGCCATGTTGGCTCCGGGCGTGAGGCAGTTCTTGTCGTAGTAGCAAAAGACGTGACCGACGCCCTTCCGGCCTTGAGGGTCAACGTTGGTCGAGGCCTCGAGCGCCAGCACGGGGGTTGTGAGGCGGTACTCGTCCGGCATGCCCGGTGCAATCTGGACAGACGACGAGATCGCCGTGCCACCGCCTTCGAGGATATCGATCTCAGGCGCGCCGCGGCCTTGGTTTGGGTGAAGCCCAAAGCCCGGGTTCTTGTTGCAGGCCGAGATGCGCTGGTTCTTGCGCGACAGCTCCGTGCACTCGTTGTACGTCCACGGCCACATCTTGTTGGTCGACGCTGCAAAGAGCGCGCGGCCGAGGTTGCCCATGAGCCAGATACCCGGCCACGTCGGGTAGAACCGAATGTCGGGGATCTTGTCGGCGGGCTTGATGGGCTTCATGCCCTGCGGCGTCCAGAGCTTGCCTTGGACGTGCGGGTTCATCGACTCCTTGTTCAAAGCGCCTGGGAGCTTGGCGGCGACTTCAACATACCCGCCTTGGATGCAAAACTTGTTCCACGACTGCACCATCGCCGCCGAGTAGTACTAGAGAGACAGTCAACAGACTAAACTCGGACTCGAACGCACCATCTTCTTTTTCGTCCAGCCAGGGATGTTGGCCCACACGTTGTAGTACGAGATATCGACTTCGCCCGAGTCGATGCGAATGTGGAACGACCCGTTCTCGGTCAACGCGTTCTTGGGCGTGTAGATCTCGATCGCGCGGTTGACGCCGTCCGGAATGTCGAGCGCGGTCCAGAGATGGTCGTGCCCGGCGCTAAAGTTGCGTCCGTCGAGCTCAAACTCGTCGCTCATGACGAGCTGCCACGCGTCGCCGCGGGAGCTCGTCTTGTTGTAGACGTCCTTGGGCGTGTTGACATCGACCCACGTCGGGACACCCGACTTGGTCGGCTGCGTGTTGTCGCCAATATCGAGGCCGTAGACCGCCGTATGGGCAGCGATGAGTAGGAAGGCGGCTGTCGATCGTAGTACCATGGCGCTGCTGCGACGATGGCGACGACTTGGAAATGGCGCTTCCATCAACAGCGCGTCCGAAGCCCAGCTGCTATCCCCATCACACGTGTGATTGGGGCAGGCCGCCTGGACAGCCCACAACCCAGTTTGCACCACGGCCATTGGCTGAAAACCGGTTATCTCGCGATTCAGCGGCTTTTGATTGGCTATTTTAGTGCTACATGACCCAGATGCGGCGTGTGTCACAGGGTGGGCGGAAAGGCGGCGTCGGTGGCACCGAAGCTTGGTCGGTGGGCGTGAAGTGCGCCAACGTCGGTCCTGTGACTACAACGGTAGCTCGTAGGGTATCAACGCGATGCTGCCTTGGTTGCGCACGCAACCAGACGAGCTACGGTGCACCAGCAAGTGTATGTATTTTCACCAAACGCCTTTGAGCCGGATCTGCGAACGCCGCTGGCTCGCGAGGACGAGACTCTACGATCCGTCTCGTTCTCTGTGGAGCTTCCCTCATGGGGAAGCTTCTTCGGTACCTACTGGTATACGTCCTATCACAACAAGGCCTTTGGCTCGCAAGCGCTGGTGGAGCTAAGGGACGTCTTTGACTCGTCGCTATTACGTCCGGAAGGACAGAGAGTCGGCGTCACTGCAATGCGGACACCCAAACCTTACATGCCCGATAACGTTGCAGTCGGCATCATCAACTGCTGCAGCGCTTGGTCGCCCGGGCAAGGCGGTAAGACTTGCCACAGTGCGACGTGCGGGCATGAGCCAACGGCAAGTGCGTGGCAGCGCAGTGACCACCAAGGTGGTTGTATGCGCATAACAGACAATGTGTGCACGGAGTAGAGATTTCAAAATCGTCCACGGCGTAAGTTCGTTACGATAACGTTAGTCGTAGTGTTGACATAAGGATATTAGTTGAGTTAGCTGCGCTGAACCTCGAGCGACTGGTCGCCCATGATGATGATTTCCGAGTCGGCGGGCGCGGGCGGCATCACGACAACGGTCGTCCGGCGCGCGGTTTCTTTGGCTTCGGCCTGGTGGTGCATTTGGATCTCGCGCGTCCGCTTCATGCGCAGCATGAGCGAGAGCACAGCGCTGATGGTGCCAAAGCCCACGACGCCGACGGCCACAAACACTGGTGGTCCGAACGTGCGCTTGTCCATGTCGTACTTGGTGCACCGGGGCCCCGACCAGACGCCGCTGCACTTGCATCGGCGCTTGACGCAGATGCCTGTGATCGCGCTCGATGTGGTGCAGTCGTCGTCACTGTTGCACGTGGCACCGCCCGCGACCGGGATGTCGGGGTTGCGCGGGTCCGTGTAGTTGGTGATGTGCGCCTTGATAAATTCCTTGGTCGGATGCGTCGCGGGATCGCAGCCGACCGACATGTTGGACGTTGGCGACTGGTCTTGCCTAGCAACCAGATGTGAGTCTGGAAAATAAGATACGACTCAAAGTATACCAGACGCGAATGTAGTCGATGTGCATGTACATCGGGAACGAGTCGCACACGTTTTGCGTCGAGTCGTATTCCCAAGTACCAGGCTTGGGAATCGTCGCGTTGCCTCGGCACGGACCGACGACGAAGTTGGGCGGCGTCGCACCTAGACATGCCGTAAGCAACGCAGTAGCAAGAGCAGCTCCATTGTACCCCAGGCCGACGACATGGCCACGTTGAAGATAAAGTAGCTCGGCTCCTCAATCATGATCTTCTTCGGGTTGGGCTCCTTCCCGCCTTGCGGTGGGTTGGTCATCGACTCGGACGGGATCTCGAAAATCGGCACCTTGTCAAGCATCCAGCGGACATAGCCGCTGTCACCCGTAACCCTAATCCACGAGATTGAGTATAGAGACTAAGCAGCAACGCCTCGTACCACTCGAGCTGGTACTTGTAGTACGTCGAGTACGCTTCGTAGTTGATGTCCCAGTTGGATGAAATTGCGTCCATTTGGTACTCGAACGGCTCCATCATGTTGGTCGGCGCCTGCGCATTCGTGCGCGGGTTGTCGCATTTCGGGTTTTGACTGTCGCGGTCGCAGAGGAACCCGCCCTTGTACCCGTTTGCGATCGGAAAGCACGTGCCCTTGTAGTTGATGCCCCAGTGCAGCGGGCCCTTCCCGTCCATGAGGCCGAGGTCCGCGTGGAGGTCCTTGCCCGAGCTAATCTTCTTGATGTCCCACTGGTTGTCGATGATTTCGCTGTTTTGGGCAGCCGCCACCGACTCGTACTGCTGGACGAGCTTCGGGTCGGGCGTGCACCGGTCGTTGGCCGCGTACCGGAGGCCTTGGTACCACGACTTGTGGCCGCGGGACGCAAAGGCGGCCGTCGACACGTCCGCCATGTTGGCTCCGGGCGTCAGGCACGTCTTGTCGTAAAAGCAAAAGAGATGGCCTGGACCATGACGACCTACGCAGATACGTGAGCTCGTTCGTTCACGTGGCAGCATATCGTACCGAAGGCGTCGACGTTGGAGGAGTTTTCGTACTTGATGTCCGGGTGCGTGAGCCGGTACTCGTCCGGCATGCCCGGCGCGATCTGCAGCGACGACGAAATCGCCGTGCCACCGCCTTCGAGAATGTCAATTTCGGGGGACCCGCGACCTTGGTATGGGTTGAGGCCGTAGCCAGGGTTGGGGTTGCAAGCCGAGATTCGCTGGTTCTTCCGTGCGAGCTCGGTGCACTCGTTGTACGTCCACGGCCACATCTTGTTGGTCGAGGCCGCAAAGAGCGCGCGGCCGAGGTTGCCCATCATCCACAGACCCGGCCACGTCGGGTAGTAGCGAATGTCGGGGATCTTGTCCGAGGGCTTGACTGGTATGTCCTTGGTGCCGTCCCAGCGCTTGCCCGTGATGTGCGGGTTCATCGACTTATTATTCACCGCGCCCGGGAGCCGCGCGGCGATCTCGATAAAGCCGCCTTGAATACAAAACTTGTTCCACGTCTGCATCATGGACGCCGAGTACCACTAGGACGCAAAAGAGATCTTAGTCCAAGTGCAAAGTCGGACAGGCGGGTACCATCTTCTTGGTCGTCCAGCCCGGCACGTCAGCCCAAACGTTGTAAAACTGGATGTCGACTTGGCCCGAGTCGATGCGAATGACAAACTTGCCGTCCTCTGTGTACGAGTTGTTGGGCGTGTACACCTGAATCGCGCGGTTGACGCCATCCGGAATGTCGAGCGACATCCAAAGATGGTCTTCACCGGCCGTAAAGTTGCGCCCCGCAATCTCAAACTCGTCGCTCATGACGAGGTTCCACGTATCGCCGCGCGAGCTCTTCATCGTCAACTTGTCGGCGGGGGTGTCGACGTCGATCCAGATGCCGACGCCCGACTTGGGCGGCTGCGTGTTGTCGCCAATGTCGACCGCGGCCACGCACGCCAACGTCGCCGCTACTACGAGGCGCCACATTTTCTATTCAAGAAGGCGAATTGCCGAGTGCGCACGTAGAGGCCACGACGAGCCGCGAGTGTAATCCCAGCCAAATAATACCGTAGACTGGTCACACCCATAAGTTCTGCGTGTCGCGCGGCGATCCTATGGCCGACGAAGCCTATCACGTGCATGGAAGGCGGCATTACAGGCCCGACGCAGCCGACTCGGAACATGCCCACGAGAATGGAGAGGATCGCTCGAGCTTCCTAGAGACGCTTCCATGAGTACACAGAGCAGGTGTGGAGCAATCTCATGCACGAAAAGCAAGTACGACGATAAACCTCGTTTCGTGCATCAAGTACAGTAGCGGCGGTCGCTCGATCTGAACCGACGCACCACCGCACAAGACGCTGCAGGGCGGGCAAGATCCAGGGCAAGTCGCCTGCGTACGGACACGGTGGAGCTATCTGTGCATGATACTACCATTACAAGGATCTGCAGTACGAACGACCGCCTACGACCAACTGCGGTCTGACGACATCTCTCTCGATGAGGGAATATGGCGAGAGAATATAGCAAAGGGCGGGCCATCGACGCCAGTTGGTGGACTTCGACGGCTCAAGGGCGATGGCTTCTTGGCCGCATCAACCGGCGGTGGCACGAGCGGCCGGATCGTCATGGCGACTTTGGTGGCAACGTCGGTGAGGCCGTCGCGACTATCGAGCGGCCACAAAGGTGGTTGGGATGCAGTGCATTGTTAAGTGATTGGTTTTTCTATTCGATGTCGATCTCGTCGTGTTGCTTGCGCTTCAGGTCCTTCTCCATCATGAGGTCGGCGCGCGCGCGTCGCCGAAGCCGCACGAGTAGCGCGACAAAGGTACTGATGAGCGCGACGCACAAAAGCGCGATCGCGAGCGTCGGTGTTGGCCCAAACGACTTGCCGTCCAAGTCGTATTTGGTACACCGGGGTCCGGTCCACGGCGTGACGCACTTGCAGCGTCG